GTTGAAAACGAAGTGTTTGAGAGAGGCGGGGCATAGAGGACCTACAATAATGTACAGTATTTGAAAAATAATGTGTTTTTTGAACATTAAAGCATGTCAACATATTCTGTTACACCAAATATACAAAATAGTGATCTTTTAAAAAGCATCATATGACCCCTTTAATAAATATTTTAAATATAATTATTTTGTCAGATTACAGTAATGAGTTTTTGGGGTTGGGAGAATCTGCTTAATTAAAAGTGACCTAAAAAGAAAAAGGATACTCCTTTTCTTTTATTTTCAAGGAAAAAATCTGTCTATTTTACACAAGACATTTCTTAACAGTTTTGTGAGATTCCAGGGTGTTTTTGTGTGTTAAGTATAACCTCTAGATGGCGTCAAACTCCACGCCACAGATATCCTCTGCTTTTCCTGCGAATGAATGAAACAGTGTTTTGATGTCAAACTTCGAAAGTTTGCAACGCAGAAATAGTGGTTTGCTTTTTTGCAGTTTTTCTTTTTTTGTTTGGCCTGAGAAATACCTCTCTTCAGCCACGCCGTGGTACACCGTTACACTGTTCATTTCTAGGTGTCACGATGAAGCGTAGCTGAAGTTGTTGCACTGTCAGTATCACACCTGAAAGAGCACGTTTATCAGGCAACCCTCCATCATGCCGATGTATGAATCCTGCCTCTCTCTCACACAGAAATCTACCGTATCGTGTCCCAGAGGCAGATGTCAGGGCGTGGTGATGACGGCTTCTCCCCCAGCTCAAAAGTGGTTCCCATTACCGTGCAGCCCACACAGAATTCGGGCAAGCAGGGCGCCTGCTGTCAGAATAACTGAGCTGCTGCAGCGCCACCATGGGATCCTGGGAAAATTTTGTTGGGCTGGGCTGCAAGGTTGACCATGACCGTTGTATTCCCTGCGCGTGATGTGCTTAACATATGTAACAGACTTGCTTAGTTATGCCCAGAATAAGTGAGTAATAATCTTCAAAATTGGAGAACAAGAGATGTTGAAATTGAATGGATCAAGGATTTTCTCAGAACTGAGAGGCCATGCTTCTTGTTTCAGACTAATTAGAAATGAGCAGTTAGCTGGGACGCTCAGACGTGGCTGCTTTTTTTAAATTTTATTCCTGCACTTTTTGCCACAGAGTCTGCTTACAAACAATGGGCTGAAGAACAAGAAAAAGTGCTTGGAATGCATAATGCTTCTTATAAGTACCTCTTGAATGGTTTCTGATCGCAATGGGGATTCACTTGTGAAATCATTTTTTTTTTTTTCCTTTAGTGTGCCAGCGCAGAAGTAGTCTGACATCTTTTCCATGCATCTCAACACCTGAGAAATTCCTACTGTGGTCATCATAGCCGCCTGTTCGCTCAATTCTTACATTACAACGGCATCTCTTGTATTTATTGAATGCAAACACGGTCTTGTTATTCTGTGGTGTTTTTATATATTTTTTGCTTTTATCCATCACTAGGTTATTGATCGGAATTTCTCAAGGGTTTCTCCTTCCAGTCATGGCACTCATTGCTTTATAACAATTGCATTTAAAACCAAAGCAATTTAATATATAAAAAAAGGAAGGGACCCTTTATTCACTCAGTAAAGGACGAGTACACAACACTTCTGAGGGCTTCTAGTATGCAAAAACACGGTATTGAGGCACAAAGTTGAAGTGACTAAAATACCCCCGAATGCTATAAAATATTTCTGCCGTTATCCCATTGTTAATGCACACGTTACGTATCTGACGTTTTAAAATATAAGCCTTTGAAACCCCACCCCACTTGTTTTTATGCTGTCAGAAGTGTGGATTTTTCTAACTTTCATAAATAAAAATTCTATAGTTTTAATCATTTTAGTAGAAATCAACTTCATGCGTTTTACAAATATATTAACTTTTTAATTTATTAATTAAAAAACAAAACGTCTTGAAGTTACTTATAAATACGTTTTCTTCATTAAAGATATTCATAAATAACATCCAGATACTGACCTCTTCCTCTATGAAATAATAATGCATGTTAGCAAAATAGAATCTTACGAAACAGCTATAAGACATTTTAAGTTCCCTTTTAAGTTGCTTTGTATAAATGCTGTGAGGAAGAACCTAAACAGATATGGTGGTATTTCTCTAGCCATGAAATTCAACTGAAAGCTCACTTTTGATAAAGAAAAAAAAAGGCAAAATTAGACATTGGTTGGGTGGCCATTTTTACATTCAAATACATTATTTGCCCTTTGTACTATACTGAAAGGCATTATAATTGCTTAAGTGCATCACGTATATGTTCTCTGGTGATTCTATGGAATGGATGCTGCAGCGGTTATAGATAAATACGTGCAGCTTCGCTATCTGCTATGTCAGAACATATAAGGGTATATACTGTTTGCCTAACCGGGCACATAAAAAATAAAAAAAACTCAAAAATATCAACAAGACTAAAAATGCAAATATATCCGTTATGGGAATGCAAGGTACAGTTCAGCTCAAAAGTTTGCAAACCCCTCGAAGAAGTTTTAAATTGCATTTTATTTTATTTTTAGTACATCCCTCAGTTTTTTTTAAATGAGGCGAGACACTTCAGATAAAAAACTTTTTTTTTTTCATGCACTGGTCAATTTTGAGATTTTAGGCCTTACGTAATACGTAGTTTCAGACTAATGGAAAGCAAGTACACAAGTGCAAAGTACACATTTAAGTAGTTATTGTATTGCACTTTATCTATTTGCATCTGTAGATTTCAATTATAATATCTTTAAAGGCTGTTTCCTCAATGAGTTTTTTGTCCTGTACGTTACAGTTTTATTCCTATCTATATTCTGAGATGTTTTACAGATGGCTTTGGTGATGTATCTTTCACCTTGTTCTATAACAGTTTTTTCCTAAAAACGTGGTGAAAATTAATAGTTGTTTTTCTGACTTATGGATTGAAAAAAACAAACAAAAAAAACACCCTTTTGTAAAATCTTTTAACTGTAATATAAAAGAAGAATTTTTAATCTGGCTCTATCCAGTGTTTAGATTTATGTTCTGGAAATGTATGCACATTTGTGTATATTTAATAGGATACTGCCTCATTTGCATATTTCAACAACATTTAAAAAAACTTGGGGGGGAATCGAATCAACTGGATAAATATATTAGTTAATCTATTAGATCTATTAGTCTGTTTTTTTTTTGTTTTTTTTTTTTTTTACCCTATTCACCTGGAGTGTCCCGCCTTAATATTCCACAAGACAAAATTGTTCACATGCCCTTGTTTAAATTCATGTGTTTCCTCCTCGAGTGTCAATGACTGTTTGTATCTTATGTGATGTGTTTTGAGTCTCTGGTTTGTCCTCTGAGCTGAAGCAGCCCACTGTTCTTGACAAACATCCTAAGTTCTTTGATTTCCCAGCATGCTCTGCACATTTGAGTTCTTCCCCACAGTGGCTATACGATGTTGATCTCCAGCTCTGACACTCGGGACAATCGAGGGACTCATGCAGCTTTCACAAAAGGCTGCAAACAATCATTGACACTTGAGGAGAAAACACAGTGTTACGAACTAAAGGTATGCAAACTTCTGAACGGAATAAATTATTTGTGTAAATTATTTCATATATGGCATCTTCAGGGCAGCACTAAAAATAAAAACCCTTTTTAAAAAAAAATGCTAAGCACCTTCTAAACAGACTCTGCTTGGGGTGTGTAAACATATGAGCATTTATCTGGTATTTGTGCATTAGATACTTTGTTGGGTAAGAGAAATATGTTTGGAAAAATAAACTAGTGTCATTGTACAGCATTACATTAAACACCAGCTGTAGTCCTCACTAAAAATCTCTGTAGTACAAGTGGCTCTGTTATATTTTATCTACACAGGCTGTTCAAAGGTTAATAATGCTCTGTAAAATAATTTCCCAGCATGCAAACCAAAAAGAAGCAAGAGAAGCTGTTGAACTGCAACTATTTAACAACACCACATAATTACTGGAAAAGAAGAAGCAGGAGGAACGGAAACGATTCACAGTGGTTCTTAATATTAAGCTTCATCTTAGACAGCACATTCTTGTTAAACCTGTCAGACTCCAAACCGGACCACTTTTCATTGTGAATCTGTAGTTGTAGGTTGTGACCACTCCCCCTTCTCGATCAGAATGGCTTTTTGCATGGGCAGTTATTATTTTGGATTAGGCATAATAATAATAATAGTGCCCTCATCATTCTGAAATTATAAAGGAACTTGCCAGTTTGAAATTATTTGAATGATGATTCGACCGTTCTGATATGCATTTGTAAATATATTTTTATTTCTTATGAGCTGCTCTTACATGCAGTAAATCCTGTCAATAGGGTGTGTAGATATTTTTTTTGTATAATCATAACCGTATGCATCAGTATAGGCAAAGCAAATGCTGTACAAACTAAACTATATGAATTCTTTCCCCTATTGATTGTGATAACCCTAATTTTTGGTTATGTACTTTCTGAAGAGCTTTCAGATTTTGGGGCATCAATAACATCACACTTTATTTAATTTCTGTTGGGATGACGCCTTACGAAATATTACAAACTAGCAAGTAGGCTATTAGAGACTATTACAATATTTTCAGAATTGCTTATATAGTGAAATATATTTAATGATATGCCTATCATAGTCAGTCTTTATTATATATCTCCCTAAATGTCAATAAATATAGTCTTATTCCTATCAAATAAATAATACTCAAAAAAGGTTTTGCTGTGATTGGCTGTATAAAGTCTTTAACAGTTCAAATGTCTCCTTTTCAAAGCCTGCATTGAATAATATCTCGCTCTGAATACTTACACAGCATTGATCCAGGCTACATTCTTTGAAGTATATCATCACTCTATTAGAAGTTGCGGCATTTGGTTAAGAAACACAACTTTTGAAGTGCTGCATTTTCTAATTGGGAAAGTCGTTACTGCTTTTTTGTTCTCAAAAAGGGCTTTAATTGGGTACAATGTGCATGGCTTTAAACAATTCTTAGGGTTATCAACCATTTAGAAGCATTTTTCTAACAGTGCATTTTTGGATAAGGATGAACTTGTTTTATTAAGTATTAAGACAGTTATTGCTGTTTCCTGCATACGCTGACCTTGTGACCTTAAAAGAGGCAGGAGAACAAAATACGGCATATAGACAGACAACTGTTGTTCTGAATCAGATTCTAAAATTCGTGCTATTAAGGTTTGCATAATTGATTCTATTTTTAAAATGGTTTTGGTTTTTATATAGAAATGACCGAAATGCACAAACATACATTCCTTTAATGGACGAGCATCTGTCCCTGATCAGTGCTGGGGATTTGAAGAACTAGAAAGAAGGTAAGAAAATACCATCGCATTGTTGTCCCTTCATTTTTAAGTAAATTAAGATGCTATTTCTAAAGACTGCGATGTTTAGAAAAACCACTAAGTGTCAAAATACGCTATCCGTGCAAATACAACCAACTAACCCAAAATATAACAAGTGCAATAACAACAAGAATATTCGCCATTTCAGTTCACTGTCGAGAAATGCACATGCATTACGATTGCAAATGCTGCTTGCTTACGTCAAAATAAGGTGCTTTTAAGAGCTTTAATTTGTTAAGCCTTTTCAGTTTTTTTAATCTCAAATCTGAGTTACTTAAAGGGACTTGAAATATATTTCAGTTAAACAAAGTACCTTATTACACTAACGCTCATAGAAACAAAAACAAAACAAGGCGCTACTGCGGCCGTAATACATGAATTCAGATGAGGCGAACGACTAAGTATATCTGCTGTAACAGTCAAAAGTTTTTCAGAACTAATATTTAAGATGCTAATGGCTCAAAGGTAAATCGTTCTAGTAAGTTAAATACAATCACAGGCTTACCCTAGCATATCTTCTAACACCGCGCACATGTGGCAATGGCGCAGAGAGGCTCGATGGGGGAAAAACTGACCCATTTCAAACTGAGAACATTTTCAGTGGCTCCATTCTTTTGTAGTGGCCTTCTAGCGAAAGGGGGGGAAAAGACAGTTTCCCAACCTCCGAACACTCTAATCCCCTATCCCGAAATCCCCCAGCCTGCAATGAGACAGGCACTGGGTGTGTAATTTGATTCAGCATGAGCGGCCACCAAATTGGGCGTTCCCCCCCTGCTTTCTTGTCAATTACAATTGTCTGATTTCATTGTGGAGTTCAAGGTTGTTCTCCGATTGGCTGCTCGTGACCATGCGCTGGCAGGCCTGTTTCGAGGGGGTCACGGCAGGATGTCCCGCTCATGAAGGAAGACTCCATGGAAACTTCGATGGCCTGCCTCTTGTGCACATTAAACAAGAAATCTCAGAAGAAAAATGCTTTGGGTCTATCTAGTCACACTCTCTACCCAGAATGGCCAGCTTTTCTCTTTGAAATAAAATCTGCTCTTGGATTTTTTTTTCACCCCACGGCAGGACAAAAGAGGCCCCATTTCTTCCCAATGGGAATACCAGAACGGGAGCGAGCAAGCGATCAACAGGAGGGGGCCCCAGCTGCACCTAGTT